TGGTAATTGTATACATTATCTCACAGATGTCTACATTTTCTTCTTGCAAGCATGATTGTGGTCTATATGTCATAAAGTATATGGAGTTCATTATGCATCAAGAGATAAGTGTGATATCGGAGAATGTTGAGCCTAGAAGTTTGCAATTGCAATTGGCAGTGCATTTTTATAAGCATTCGTGAGAAGATAAAATGAGGTTACCAAACAGATTTTGACCTTGTCCCATCCTACCTAGTGTGAGGAGGAAGAAAAAGATGAGGGCTTCAAAGAATGTCTGGCGTAGTAGTAGTAATATATGTTTAGTGATCACGCAGTATTGTCTAGTTGGTTGTTATGTAGAAATCTTTCTGAGTTTTTTTTCCCCTTCTTCTTCAATCTTTTTTGGACTAGATTTGGTTGGTCGCTTATGCAAAATCTGTTATTGGGTAGTTTTTGAATGCAGTAATGAAACAAACTGATATCGACGATGTATTTTTGATTGTAGAACTGCTATGCTGCGTTTAAATTTATGTGAATTCTATACTTTTCGTATATAATCTTCAAAAATATGTTCATCTATTTATGTACAATGCAGATTTCGTAATTTACTCTTTATAAAATCATATTAGATAATTCAAGTTTCACTCTTTAACTTTGTGCTAGTAGATTCTATCTACTACCTTCTCCAAATGTTACCAACAATTGCAGATGGTGAAAATTAGAAACTCGTGTCAAACATCCTACATCTATTTCTTAGCATAGTCTATATATGGGATACAACTTCTCGTAACATTTTGTATAAGCTTCCAGGACATACTCGATCAGATAATGAGTGCGTGTTTCATCCTAGTGAGCCTATCATTAGCTCCTTGATTAGCCACTTCTTTCTTTCATTCAAAATCATGCATGAGACATTCATCTCACACGGCTCCTAAGTGATAAAAGAAGTGAGTGCGTCTTTCATCCTAGTGAGCCTACATTAGCTCCTTGATTAGCCACTTCTTTCTTTCATTCAAAATCGTGCATGAGATATTCATCTCACAAGGCTCCTAAGTGATAAAAGAAGTGACAAGCAAATATATCTTGGTGAAATCTAAATGACTTTCTGTAATTTCTCCACTTCTTTTCGAATGGTTGTGAGGTGAAAATAGTAGTTGGCTAGGGAATAAGGAAGGTATTGTGAAAATTTTGTTAGTTTTGATTTATTTGATCTTTGGCATTGATGGATGTTCCATTTTGCAATTCTAGTAGGAAGAATTTGTTGTAATATGTATTGTTTGTTAGAAACTGAATTTAGCTATCTCTTCACTGTCATAAGAAGTTTTATCAATTTAGATTACAACTTATTTGACATGATTTTTGCTTTTATTTCTACTTCAGGTAGAAAAATTTTCTTAGGAAGTTACCTTAATTGATGTTTGAAAATTAATTTCTAAAAGTGCTCATTCTTTAAGAAGCTTTTGACTTCTTAAAACTCGTGTCAAACGTCCTACATCTATTTTAGTATATAGGTGGTAATGACATTGTCCTTGTTTGGTGTTTATACTTAACAGATATGGGATTAGTGAAACACTATAAATGGTAGAGGCCAGTTTTATTTCAAAAGTTCTCTAGTCATCGGTTATAATATCGAAAGGTTGGAACTATGTCCGCAAACCTACTCAACTGTGCTTCTCACAAAGAGAGGCATTTCAATATGCTTAACAAGAATCAAAGTGCAATGCTAGATTTTACTAAGATAAAAGCAAAAATCCAACAAAGAACATAAAACTCAGATTGCAAGAGGCACAACAGTGGGAGTTTCTCTCACTAGAGTTGAGAGTTTCTCTCTCTAACTGCTTTTTCTCTTTTGACTTATTTCCAGTTGCTCCTATTTCACGAGGACAACTCCACATTTGACCACAAAATACAAAGAAAATGATACGTTCATGGTCCTTCAACAATTCAGCACAGCATGATCTCCTTGATACATAAAGTTATTTACTTTTTGGGAATCATTTAAATAACTAAGAAGTTTATCATCTTTCAAGAAATCACTTTCTGTATTGAAACCCAACCAAAATTTATGCGAAATTAAAAAAAAAATGCTATATATAACTGAAAATAATCACTACCCCAACCACATGTAGCAATCTTCAAACAAAAAAAAATGGTTTCAAAATCGAAATAAAAAATACTTACAAATCAAAATTTGTTCAAATTAGTTCCTTTTATGTTTTTAGGGAATTTGGCCAAATGATCCAGTTGGAGAATGAGTTTGGACAAATAGCCTTTACCAACATTGAAATAGAATAAAAAAAAAATTAAAATGTTTTAATTGGTAAAATGACGAAGTTGTCCTTCAATTTATATCAAATTATTCACCCAACTTCTTTCATTTCACCTTCTTTCTTCTTCACTTTCACTGTGAAACCCTATTCCTCAAATTTGAATTCCAAACCCATCATTTTCATCTTAATTTTCACTATATTTCAATATTACAAAAAACTTTTTCTTTGATTTAAGTTTATTTCATATTACTTTATCCTCTCTTTGACACAAGCTAGTACAACCAAAAAGGTGATTTTTTCTCCAATTTTTTTCTTTTTTGTTATTTTGAAATGCGATTTTGTGCTTTCGTTGCTGTAGTTTTATAATGAAAATTTGTAAAAATTGCATTTTTTTTTTATGATTTCATGATTTATTTGTATATTTAGTTTAGTTTTAGTTGATTTTTTTTAATGTGGATGGATTTTTGATACATTTGGGGGTTTTGAAGATGATGGCTTAAAAAAAATTCATTTATTAGCATAGCTATAAACTGAAATTGTGATATGTAAATGTGCTTGTTCTTTGATATGCCTTGAAACTTAGAGAGTTGTATTATGGGTAATTTGATTTAAGTACTTCGACATTTTTTTAGTAAAATTCTTCATATTATGCTTCACTGTAATTCCTATTTTATGTGAGTCCCATTATTAAACTTTACACTTGTTGATTTCAGAATTTTTTTATATTATGTTTTGCCTATTTTTACTACAGTACCCTTCTTTGTAGATTGAAACTTGACCTACTAAATAATGTATATAAGTTGGCAATTTAAAAGGTTATGTATCCCCTTGACTTTATTAAATCATTTTATTCTTTAGTTGTGTAAACGTTATATTATTACGCCTATATTGATTATTACTTGATTTGACTTTGATATACCTATTGTTCCAGAAAAGAGAACTGGCATTGAAATAGTTTAAAAGTGGAAACACACTAATTTTGATTGCAACTGATAGGTAGCTCGTGGCCTTAATATTTCCTACATTGCTCATGTTATCAACAAAGCCACCATCTGATTTGATAAGCCAATCAGGAGGTACCCATTGGCTGATTTGGTTACAAGTCGAGCTCCATATGAAGGTAAAAGTAGTCGTGGTGTGGGCATTTTGGTGGTTGTGATTTTAGAAGTGATAGCTCTTATACTCGGAGTGGCGGAAGCACATATTAGTATAGTGGTAGTGGTTGAAATAATGGCAATTATAGTGGTGGTGAGTATGATTCTAGTGTAACTAAAGCTTAGGATTAGTGTTTTACAGTACCCCTCAAAATTATTTTGTTTCAAGGTGTATATATTTTTCACTCGAATTTGAGGATTTTGATGTTATGGAGAATGTAAAATAGTTGTAGACTACATTTGAAAATGCGCATATCAATAAGATGACTTTATTCCAGGAGATGGATTTTTTCTGTAGGATATGTTTGCCTTTTGTTAAATATTGGTGTGTATCTTTATTGTGTTATGTCCTAAGAAAAAGGCATAAGCGTCGTTTCTGGACTTATAAGCATACATGAGAACGATACAAGTAACATTGCATGAATTATAAACTTTCATTAAAATAATACAAGTGTCGTTGTTGGATTTATATAAGTATCTATGAGAATGGAACAAATGTCGTTACAAGCAAATGAGTTAACTTAGTTCAATACTCCATATTTTAGCACCAGCATGTTCCCCTTGTTTCTGCTAGATGTTTCCTGAGAATAACACTTGTGTTGTTACTAAAATGAAAAGTTTTAAGAGAACGACACCACTTAGGGTTTTCAATTCTAAAAGTTGTTGCGTTGGAAACAAACGAAAATAAAGGAGAAATCAACATAATAGCTCAAATGTCATTACTGATAATAAAACGGCATTTGTGTCGTTCCGTCTATGAATAATTAATTAGCCGTGACCCTTTTGTGCCTCGAGAAATAATAAGTTGAGCTCATTTAAGTTGTAAGGTGGATATGACATTTAAAAAAAAGAGAGAGATATGCTCGTTACCGTATTTTGTTGAAAATAATAGAATTACTCATGCCTTCATTAGCTTTATATCAAATACTCTATGTCATTTCAATCGTTCTTTATCACATAATCTACTTTTCTTGCATACTTTAGAGATCCAGTGCTTGAGGATGAAAGGACATTGAGAACGACACTTGTGTCATTACTGAGATGAAAAGTTCTAAGAGAACGGCACAAGTATCGTTTAGAGGATGAAAATGTCATTGAAAACGGCACTTGTGC